AGATCAACATCTAAAGCTAGAAAAATCAGAAAAAAAGATGAAGCATGATAAGGAAAGGAAAGTACCATTGTATTTGAGAATTTCAATGTAATTGTTAACTTTAGGAGAGAAGTTTCAGTGGAGTGGTGGACTGGGGTAGAGATAGTTGAAAGTTAAGTTAGGGTGAGCCAAATGATGATAGATCGAATTAGAGATGAGGAAGTGTGGATGAGGAATGCATATAACTCTTCCAAGAAATTTAACTTTGAACAGAGAGCAAGAGAGCAAGAGAACAGTAGTTCAAGAGCTGGGGTTTTCAGAGATGCTGTTTTCTTAAAGTTGAATGACATTTAAAAAGAGGGGAAAGCCTGCAGATGTGCCCAGGGGAAGCCAGAGAGCAGGAGCAGGTGACATGGCAGGGGACTGAGCAACACAGCTGAGGAGGCAGGAGAAGTGGTACCCCAGCAGTATTTTCTTACACTAGTCTTTTCACCGTCATTTGGTGAACATCCCTAGATGCAATTTTTAGAATAGATTCAGTAAATTGGGTAGAGAAGTCTTCTTACATATTTTTGGATTCCCTACCATAGTATGTTAGATGCGGCAGGTATCCCTGAAATTTTTTTTTTTTTTTTGCGGTACGCGGGCCTCTCACTGTTGTGGCCTCTCCCGTTGCGGAGCACAGGTTTCGGACACGCCGGCTCAGCGGCCATGGCTCACGGGCCCAGCCGCTCCATGGCATGTGGGATCTTCCCGGACCGGGGCACGAACCCGCGTCCCCTGCATCGGCAGGCGGACTCTCAACCACTGCGCCACCAGGGAAGCCCTCCCTGAAATTTTTTAAATTCATTAAATCATTCCTCTGATCAATAATCAACAATACCCTGTTGCTTACAGGGAATAAAAATAAAAACTAATTCAAGCCATTCAGAATCTAGCTAAAACCTTGGTCTCCAGCCTGCTTCTGCTGCAGCTGCCCTCCCCAGCCAGGCTGCTGTGTTGGCTTTTGCCCACAGACATGCATTGTTCATCCTGCACCTTTGCCCTGCTCTCACCCCATCATAATACTATCCCTCTCTTTACTTATAGGGAGACTGAGAATAAAATTCCAACCTGTCATGGCCTGCAAGGTCCTCTGGGATCTGCCTTCTGCTTATGTCTCCAATTACGGATGCAACCACTCTCGCCTTGCTCTCTTCTGTTCCTCCAATAGGGAAGTATTTTCGTGCCTCCAGATGTTCACGCTTACTCTGACCACTGCCTGGAATGCTCTTTCCTTAGCACTTTTCGTGGCTGGCTCCTTCCCATCTTTGGGTCTCATCTCATCCGATCAAAGTAGATCTGTATAAAGTAGATCCCCCACCCCATTATGAGTGATCATAATATACTTTTAATTCCTTCAAAGCACTAAGAACAATCTGTACTTATTTTATTCATTTATTTGTCTACTGTCTTTCCTCTTTCCCCCAACAGGATGGAAGCTCCATGAGGGCTGTACTTGATCTGTCTTATCTCCTCTTTACCCCGCAGTGTCCAGTACAGTGCTTGACAAGTGCTTGACAAATACGTTTCATGAATGAACGAATGAATGAATGAATAGTTCCTCCATAGTTTCAAACTCCAGCTTAAATCCCCACTCCATAGTGAATGATGTTAATAGCTTATATGTATTGAGTGCTTACCTTGTTCCAGTGGTTACATATATTATCTTACTTGATGAGCCCCCTTCTCTTCACTCCCAATTTACCTCCTGTAATCCACAGTTATTATTCAGGCCATGCAATTTAGCCTTTTGCTTTGTTATTTAATATATTCCTCTTTTTGCTCCAGTGAAATAAAAATTCTTAGTGCTCCCCCATAGCATACAGAGAGTGCTCAAAGTATGCTGAGCGGCTGAAAATGGCCCCCCAGGGTTATAACATTAACATAATAAGAATGTTGATAAGTTGTCTTTATTATAAACTTCAAACTACTATCCGCTCATTTAAACTTCAAATCTAACTCAGCTTGCAAGTGGACAAACTCTATTCTACCTGCTGAAAGACATTCTAAAATGCTGAAAATGGTTAAGGCAAGACAGTTTGCGTTTTGAGGTAGAAGACATGCAGTTCAACACCTCATTTTCCAGAAGAATTTCCTAAAGTCTTAATGTTCTAGAAAGGATTGTCTAGTCTGTCAAACATGCTTGCAAAACCAAGTTATTTCACATTGAGAAGCCATAAGAAAGGTTCCTAGCATTGTGTTGACTGTTGGGTTTTGAAATATCTGCTTTGCAGCGTTGTGGAATCCCCAGCTGAAGAGCCGTCCAGTCCCTTTGCACATCTAGGCAGTGGCCTGAGGAAACTGGAATCCATCCTGATGGAGATGACAGGGAAGAGGATCCTCTAGATGCTTCAGCAGTCTAGAAAATTCCATTCCACTCCCTACTCCACATTTTGAGCTCAGATCAAAAGGAGCATCCCTAGACTCCAAAGAGTCCTCCCTTCACTGTAAATGATGACTTCAGGGGCAGTCTGCTCTGGTCACCCCAACTGGGTGTGACCCTCCCCAAGGCCAGCAGTAAGCTTGGAGTCCCCAAGGGCCATTGTTTCCAGCACTCTACCCTTGAGAGTCATAAGAGTCATTGCTGAAAACTTCTCGGGCTCTGCACACAGCCAGTAGTGATTTTCTCCTTGAGTTCCACCCTAGAGCAGATGTGTATAGTCAAAAAATGTCGCCCAACCTGTCTTTCCCCATCTTACAAGTCAGCTGGAAGCACCCGTCCTACTGGGTGTCATACTGGGTGTCCTTCCTTGAAGAGAACCTCCCCCTATTTTTTTTTTTTTTTTTTTAATCTTTGGCTGCGTTGGGTCTTTGTTGCTGCACCCAGCTTTCTCTAGTTGCAGCGAGCGGGAGCCACTCTTCATTGCAGTATGCTGGCTTCTCATTGCAGTGGCTTCTTGTTGCGGAGCACAGGCTCTAGGCGCATGGGCCTCAGCAGCTGTGGCTCACGGGCTCAGCCGCTCCGCGGCATGTGGGATCCTCCCGGACCAGGGCTCGAACCCATGTCCCCTGCACTGGCAGGTGGACTCCCAACCACAGCACCACCAGGGAAGCCCCCCTCCCCCTATTAGAAAGGTGTCTTCTCTTAATTAAATCTTAAACCTGACAGATCCAACTGTTCATCGCAGTAGAGTCTGGGCAGTGCTTTACCAAGGATTCTGTTTGTTAGCTTCCTCAGTGGCCAGGGATGTAATTAAATGCCATCGTTCTAATGACACACATTTTCTGTTCCAGCTGCTTGAAGTTCCTTCTCTGCTTAATAGTTTAGCAATTATCTCTTTACCTCCCCTGGGAATGGCCTGCCAACATGACTTGTACTCCTGCCATTTTACAAAGTCCCTATAAATTAGGAAAAACTCCTGCCATCTCAAGTATTGTCATGATGTGGCTTATTTATTTATTTATCAGAGTGCAACATGGCTATCTCTTCTCACTTTAAATTAGGACTACTGGGGACAGGCACCATCAAGGTGGCCATAATTTACCAGAACGCCAGTTTTCAAAATTCTTAAATGTACAACATTCCGTAGTATAGACATTGTAAGAGGAAGTGAGACAAACTTTGTCATGATCTTGCAAAGAAGGCTAGTCTTGGGCAGAGCAAAGGCCTATGCATTCCCTCAAGGGCTCACATTTAGATCCTGACATTATCTAAAGTGAGACTGTACAGTACCAGAGATTGCGTGTGTTAATAAATCATTTATCAAGCGTAAATAAACATTTTAAACACGCCACAATGTAATCCTGCTTTTGTATTGCTTTGTTTATGTGTTCATTTACAATATCAGGGACGGAAAAAAAAAAAAGTTGTCTGAACAAGTCCCAGCCTCTCGGAGGTCATGGCTCAGGGTCCCATGACTAGTGGGGTCGGGATGAAAGGGGGACTTGGAAGGCGGGGTTTGGGCAGCAGGAGTTTCAGAGCCAGCTCCCAGGCCTCGGTGATTTGGGCTCTGCGCTCCCGCGGAGGCTCAGGGAGAGCGCTGCTACAGTCAAAAGGAACTCGCGAAGCTCTGCCAACCCCGCCACCACCTGGAAGAGAGCATCCGGCGAAGCAGCCGCGAGACGCAAAATGGGGCGGGGCCGTGGGCGGGGTGGGGGCGGGGACTCGTGGGATGAGGCGGGGCCGCGGGCGGCGCGAAGGAAAGGCCGGGGCGGGGACACAGTGGTTCGTCTGGCGCGAGGGATGGTGTCAGGCCCTACCCCCACCCCACGCTGGGAGCACCAAAGGTGACCTCGGCCTAGCGCTCCTGCTCCGGGCGGGGCCGGCGGCGGCGCCTCCAGGCTGTGGGCGCCAGTGGCCTCCTAGCGCCGGAAGGGCCGGGCCTGCGCGCTCCGGGAACTTGCGGGCCGACGGCGCGGGAGCGGGCCCGGCGGGAGGGGCTACGGCTGATCTGTTTTTCGTTTCCTCTTACACCCTTTCTTAGTGTCATCCTGAACACCGGAAGGTGCAGCGGCAGGGCTACGGACAGACCCACCCACTCTGCCCCTCTGTTCTGTGGCCACGAGGACGCCCATTCCTCTCTGGACTCTACCCATTAAAGCGGTTTCAGGGTACGCATATATGGCCATCTGTCCCCGGAGTGAAAAGTCGGTGTTTAACCGTTTAGAAATGGGTACTTTTGGAGAAGCAGAAACACTCCCATGGGGCAGAGGAGTTTCCTGGGGAAGAGCCATAAGGAACTCACGGGTCCTCACTCGAGAAGCACCTCTTTACAGGTCCCCGGAGCGCGCAGGCCCGGCCCTTCTGGCGCTAGGAGGCCACCGGCTCTAGGAGGCCCCTGGCGTGCAGTTTGACAGGCCCCGACCCCTGGATTTACCCGTTCCAGAGTTCGGGATGCCCGTCTGGGAACAGCTTAGGGGCCGTGCGGATTTCATCCACTTTAACAGCTTTATGTCCTGATTTTTGTCTCCCATCTAGTTCTTCGGCTCTAGATGCAGAGCTTTTCAGGGTTGGCTGGAAGCCACAGCCCAGCCTCCTGATGCAGTCTGAATCCAGCCGGTGTGAAGAGGAAACTCCTTCCCTCTTGTGGGGTTTGGATCCTGTGTTTCTAGCCTTCGCAAAACTCTACATCAGGGATATCCTGGACTTGAAGGAGTCCCGCCAGGTGCCAGGTATGTGGCTGGTCGGCCTGGTGGCTGCTCTGTGCTGCATCTGCACCCCACCCACCCTTCCCCAAAGCTACAGAAATCTGGGGCTTAGGGGCTTAGCAGAGCCTTTCCAGCTGCAGGCTTTGAAATTGACATAACCTGGATTCTCAAACAAGTTCATTTCTGTGCAAGTTAAAAACAGTCTCTTTTTTATTTTTATTTTTTAAATAGATGCTTGGGGGAGTAACTTTGTACTGAAGAATGTTTTTTACCTGGGTTTGAGATCTTTCATATTTAAAAATACTCAGTTTTTCTCTGGGCCTGCTTGTGGTGGAAAGCTCAGGCCTTGCTCCCTTTCCTAACTTCACCACTTACCCGGCCTGGGCATGTGACTCACCTGTAAAGTTTAGGTGTCTTCTTTGTAAAATGAGGATTAACCGTGCCTGATTTTCTTGTGGGGTTTCGTTTTATTTTGAATAGATGAGAATCAAAATAAAATAAACTCCTTGAGAGGGAGGACGTCATGTGCCTTGTTCATCTATGTAATCCCAGCACTTAAGCAGTGCCTGGCCTCTGGTGGGCTCTCAAGTAGTAGTAATTGGAGCAACAAAGCATTATAAATGTAAAGTTAAAGAAATCATTTTTTTAAATTAGAGTGGTGGTCACTAAAAATAGGATCTTCATACCCCCAAATATAGCAAATATAGTTTAGGGTCAATTTAAGTAATTTACACAGTTGTGGATGTATCTTCACATGTTTACTGTGCTATATGAGAAGTTTGGTTAAACTCTCTTTGCTGTTTTGAATGAATAGAAAGCTATGAGCCAGAAGTAGTTCAGAATCTCAAGCACGTAGTTTTAATGAGACCACGTTTTGTGTGTTTCCCGTTCTATGTACAGATATATTTGGATGACCTTATACTAAAGCCTTTTGTACAGATTTTTCACCACACCTTCATTTTCTAAGTATTGTTGGAAATGATCTGGTTTTTTCCTTGGAAGGCAGCCATCCTCCCCCACTGTTCTCTGTTTTCCAGAATAGTCTGGTAGTCTTCATAGCTCATCTCCTCAGGAAGAAATTAATTCACACCAAATGCCAGGCTTGCATAAAGATCTTCTGTAGGTACTCAAGGAAGTATCAGGGGTGCTATAGGAGCTTAACTCTTCCTGTGGGTGAAGAACTGTATAATGTATTAACAACAAACCAAGGAAAACTTCTCCCAGTGATCTTTGTTATGTCACTAGTGGTAATGTTTCAGATGTAGTTTTTAAAATGAAACTGTTGTCAAACCCCAGTTTGTGTGCCTGACACACAGTGAGTCCAAACAAACCAAAACGTTGGAGTTTGGAGCAAAGAGAGGTTTATTGCAAGGGCCAAGCAAGGAGAACAGGCAGCTCAGGCTCAAAAAACCCGAACTCCCTCATGGTTTTCAGGGAAGAGTTTATGTATGTATGTATTTATTTATTTATTTATGGTTGCGTTGGGTCTTCATTGCTGTGTGAGGGCTTTCTCTAGTTGCGGCGAGCGGGAGCTACTCTTCGTTGCGTTGCACAGGCTCCTCGTTGTGGTGGCTTCTCTTGTTGCGGAGCATGGGCTCTAGGCGCACGGGCTTCAGTAGTTGTGGCACATGGGCTCAGTAGTTAGTTGCTGCGCAGCATGTGGGATCTTCCTGGACCAGGGCTCGAACCCATGTCCCCTGCATTGGCAGGCGGATTCTTAACCACTGCGCCACTAGGGAAGTCCCCCCTCAGGGAAGAGTTTTTAAAAGCAACATTTGGGGTGAGGGCTACAGGGTTTATGACTTTCTTCTGATTGATTGCTGGTGAGGTAACTGGGTGGTATTCCAGGAATCTCAATCAGCCTTCTGGTTCTGATCAGTCTGGGGTCTCAGCTTGTAGTTACCATACTCCACCTGGGTGAGGGTCTTAGTTCCTGCAGAACAACTCAAAGATATATATCAGATTATTAGGTATATCCCTTGAGGGGGAACTAGAACTCTGTTTTATTGCTGCACTATTGTTTCTTGACTGCTTTTTCTTTGTTTCTGCATCCCCTCACTCCCGTAATTAGTAACTACTTGAATCTGCCCTTTGGAACTCAGGAAAGGTCTAGGATCCTGAAGCCTTTTTCCTACAAAAAGAAACGAGGGGGGCTTCCTTGGTGGCGCAGTGGTTGGGAGTCTGCCTGCTGATGCAGGGGACACAGGTTCGTGCCCCGGTCCAGGAGGGTCCCACATGCCGCGGAGCAGCTGGGCCCATGAGCCATGGCCGCTGGGCCTGCGCGTCCGGAACCTGTGCTCCGCAACGGAAGAGGCCACAGCAGTGAGAGGCCCGCGTACCGCCAAAAAAAAAAGAAACGAGGGACACGGAAATGCTTTTGTATCCAGGAGGGCCCTCCTTGGTTTCAAAACCTCGTGGTTGAAGAAGACATTAACCATAATTTCATGGAGTGAAATCTTTAGACTATACTCCAGGGTTCTGAGGGGTGGGAAATGCTACTAGTTAGGTTTTTATTTTTGTATTGTGTTGTTGTTGTGTTTGGTTTGGTTGTCATAAAAAAAAAGTAAACCTTTTTACTTTGCATAAAATTTAGAAATGTTTAAACAGCAAAGAATATCTTACACACACAAAAAGAAACAAATGTGTAATGAGGAATTTGGCTGGCCTGTGTTTGAGGTTCCTGGAAGATCTTTGGATTTCTGGAATGATAGGAGTGTTTTTGTTATTCATGGTGGACCCCTTGAACCACATCTGAGTTTATGCTGATGAGGTGCCTCATGCTGGGCCGATAGGTAGTTTCAGGGTGGGGGCCTTTCAGGCCTGAAAAACCAACCATGTGATTAGAGGGTTGGCTTTGAGCCAGGTGACATCAACCCAACCCTGCAGGAGGGGAGGGGGACTGGAGATTGAGTTGTCAAGTGGGCAGTGATCCAGTCAATCTTGCCTATGTAATGAAACCCTAATTAAAACTCTGGACATGGAGGCTTAGGTGAGCTTTCCTGGTTGGTAATCATACTTGATGTGTGAGGGCGATGTGTCCTGAGGACATGGCAGCTTTATGCTTAGACTCTCCTAGACCTTGTCCTATGCATCTCTTCATTTGGCTAGTCCTGGTTTGTCCCCTTCATTATAAAACTGTAATCTTAAGTACAGCACCGTCCTGAGTCCTGTGTGTCATTCTATTAAAGTATCAAACCTGAGGTTGTTGTGGAGGGTGTTGGTAGCCAGTTGCTCAGAAGTGTGCATGGCCCGAGGACCCTCAAACTTGGGGCTGATGCTTGGAGTGAGAGTCTCTTGTGGGAGACAGTGTCCTTAACCTGTGAAATTCAACCTTACTCTGGCTAGTTAGCATCTGAATTGCCTTGCAGAGTGGTTGTGGAATGTCAGCTCCCCGAAATTAACCTGTGAATTTAGAGTTAAACTAATAGGATATGGTGAAGTTTGACTGTGGTGGTTTGGTTGGGATGTGTGTCCCCCATGGCCCCTGCATTGGCAGGCGGATTCTTAATGACCTCGCCACCAGCAAAGTCCCAAAAGTACTTTTAAAAAAGGGAAAAAAGGCAGATGTCTTGCTGTGGGTGTGGCTGTCACTGCTGTGAAAGCTGAATCAAAGCTACCTGTGACCCTGGGTCCCTGAGCCCTTCCAGAGTGACCCTCCTCCTTCCTGGGGACTTGATGATCCAGGGGATGGATCCCCTGATATGGCTGGAGCTCTGTGGGCTGCATGTAGAACAAAGGCAGCAGGAGTGAAAGGACCACTTGGGAAAGGCTGCAAGTTAAACTCAGCATTAGCCAGTATCTGTTGTTGTTATTTTCTTTTCTTAGCTCATCAAGCTTTCTCTCAGTCGATAGAGCTGCCATCCAGCTTTCTCAAGTTCTTTTCTCATAGAGGAGATTCTAGTGTTAATAGAAGGAAGTGGTTCTCTCCATTGCTTTTTCCATGTCCTCCTTTTTTATTTTTATTTATTTTATTTTTGGGCCACACTGTGCAGCATGTGGGATCTCAGTTCCCTGACCAGGGATCAAACCTCACCCCCTGCATTGGAAGCGTGGAGTCTTAATCAGGGGCCACCAGGGTGGTCCCATCCATGTCCTCCTTCTTCTTGTTCAGGTTGTGCTTCTGACGTGTATAGTTCAAGTTTCTACACACTGGGGCAACTTTCTTCTCTATTTCCAAGCAGTTTATATCCTCCTCAATCAATTTTCTCTTTGTGATTTTATTCAAACCATCTGTTATTTTCTGCTAATTTGTCCTCCACTTTTCTTTTTGTGTTGCTTTTATGATGTTTTTCCTTGTTTTTTTTGCATCTTTGAGCGACTCTCTCCTTGAAGACGAGCATTGTCAGTCTATGAATTGAAAGTTTAGGGGCTTCCTTGGTGGAGCAGTGGTTAAGAATCTTCCTGCCAGTGCCAGGGGCACAGGTTCAAGCCCTGGTCTGGGAAGATCCCACATGCTGCGGAGCAGCTAAGCCCGTGTGCCACAACTACTGAGCCTGTGCTCTGGAGCCCGTGAGCCACAACTACTGAGCCCACATGCCACAACTACTGAAGCCTGTGTGCCTAGAGCCCATGCTCCGCAGCAAGGGAACCCACCGCAATGAGAAGCCTGCGCACCGCAATGAGGAGTGGCTCCCGCTTGCCACAGCTAGAGAAAGCCCGCACACAGCAGTGAAGACCCAATGCAGCCAAAAATAAATAAATAAATAATAAAATAAATTTTTTTTTTTTTTAAAAAAAGAAAGTTTAGGGGGCTCCCTTTTCTGACATTTTTCAGAAAGTCTACTGTGTCCTCCAGTGGAGACCTGTTCAGGTTTTTTCAAGTGTTGCCCAGTGCAGAGTTGGTAATGTTGGAGGACTGGCGTCTACCACAGGTCACTTGACAACTTTGTTGGCTTGTGTCGTCAGTCCAGTCTTCTCTGTATACTTGCCTTTTCTGTATACTTCAGCCCAGGCAGAACACCTTTTGGCTGGCTCTTTTCCCCTTCTTAAAGTGTGTCGGCTCTTCATTATAAAAACCACCGTAGCGGCACATACCAGGGTGTCCCAGGAAGACCCAAAGAATCCTGGGGCTTGTCTCAAGCTTTCAACATCACCAGTAGAGCACCCCACAGTGGCTTCTGGACCAGCTGGAAAGACTCTTCAGGGGCAGGCAGCAGGCCCTCCATGGGTCCACAGGGCCTCCCACTGCTGGTGTCCTGGGAGCCACACCAGCCACGCAGAGCCCTAGGGGGTGTACCGTCTCTGATGGCACCAGGAGCACACTGTCTCTAATGCCCAGCAACCAGGACAGACCATCAGCTAGGCTGGGGGAGACAGAGGCCAGTCAGGTTCTAGGAAAGAGGTCTCGCTAACTTGGCTCTGCTCAGCACACAGATAGAAAGTCCAGTGCATTTGGGGAAGCAGAAAGGGCTGACTGCAGCCAGAGACCAGTCTGGAGCTCAGGCCACCCTCATCTCCCCACCCCAGCCCTACAGCAAAGCTGGACCAAAGCAGGGCCATACCATAGCCCGTCTCTGCACACAAGCGTGTCAGGGCATGATGGTGGGGCACACTTCAGCAGAGGATGCCATGCCCCTGACCCTGGGGTAGGCTCATTCTCCCCATTTAAACTTCCCTTCTGCTGCAGTAAGCCCGAGTCTGCCAGCAAAGGTCCTATGGGGGTCACCCTCCCCTGAAGGTGCCCTCTCTCCTTTGTGTCTGATCAGTGCAGGCAGGCAGGGCTGGAGGACTAAGGGTCTCCCCACAGGTCATCACTGGGTTTCAATGGTAAGAACTCAGGAGAAGTCAGTCAGAACTGTCCTGCTCTTAAGATTTCATGGATCTTCTGTGGAACCAGTTTGACCCTATTCAGTCCAAGTGTTCCTGGAGGGAAGCGATTCTGCTCCGGGGATGACACAGGGACCCAGGCTCCTTCCCTCATGTGGCTCTGCCATTTCAGCTCTTGGCCCCCAAGGTTGCCCTCTGCACGGTCTGCAGTCCACTAAGTCATCTTTAGAAGTATGCCTCTGCTAGGGGGAGGGCCTGGGTGAATTTGACATCTTCAAACCATGTCTCGCTCCCCTGGAATCTCTGGCTAACTGAGGCTCAGAAGCTCCTTGTCCATCCCCTGGGGACTCGGCCATGGGCAATTGGTCCCCAGCCCCTTTATCCACATGGGAAACAAGAGAACCATCAGTGGAGGCCATTCTGGGGGTTCTGAAGGGCTTCAGGGTTCAGACTGCGGGATCCCCTCCCCCCATGGATGTGGAGAAGACAAACTCTAACCAGATTTGGCAAGGACCAGAGAGGGTGAGGGTGGCCAAATACCTGAAGTGATGGCTGATTCCTCTTTTTTTTTTGCGGTACGCGGGCCTCTCACTGCCGTGGCCCCTCCCGTTGCGGAGCACAGGCTCCGGACGTGCAGGCTCAGCGGCCATGGCTCACGGGCCCAGCCGCTCCGCGGCATGTGGGATCTTCCTGGACCGGGGCACGAACCCGTGTTCCCTGCATGAGCAGGCGGACTCCCAACCACTGCGCCACCAGGGAAGCCCGTGACTGATTCTTTGTTTGAAATTCATGTATTTATTTGAAAAGGAAGTCGCCATTTAAAAGTTTATAGCCTCTTTCTGAAAGTAAAGAATTTGGTCATCGTAGGGAGAAAAAAAATGCCTGGAGAGGATTTTAGTCCAGACTCTTTAGCTGCAGGTCACAGGAACACAACGCAAGTAGCTTAAGCCCAAATAGGCAGTTCAGGTAAGGATGTTGGGGGCCCCACGGGAGTCGGGACAGCGCTTGGGTCTCGGGTGGGAATTGAGGGCTCACCGCTGCCAGGAGTCCCTCTGTTCCATCTCCGTCACGGAGTCCTAAAAAGTCCTCCGGGAGTCGGTGGGTAGGGTTCTTCCTCATGCTTCTCCTCTGGCGGGAACCTGCCTGCTGGCATCTGTTGCCTAGGCTTTGAAAATAGAATTTTAAAATGAGAAGTTTTTGAGTCGTAATCTACTGGCCCCAAAGGGTAGTGTTTTGTAACCTAATCATCTTCTCTTTTTCTTAAAAAAAAAAAAAAAAGTGCTACTGCTAATTCGTAGAAATGATGACTGGTTTCCTAGAAAAGCCAGAGAAGCCTTTTCTTGTGGTTTCATCTCTCTTTCCTTTTCCAGTCCCTCAAAATATAGTACTGTGTTGTGTCTCATAATACTGCGACTGTTTTTAGGCCCCTTATGAGAGTTCTACAGGCAGGTGCATTTCATTCTCACAAGTGGAAAGAAGATTAACCACATCTAGTTGGACAATATTGGTTTTCTCTTTTCTGTGCTAGTACAAGCTTCTTTAAAGCCACACTTTCTACTTATAACCCTTGAGGAAAAGACATCTGAATTTCCTGGGGTTTGGCATTTGTCAAATGAAATTTTAGCAAGCAGCATGCCACTGATTTTTGACACAGTTAACATTTACTGAAGCAGAAAACGTCATCATACGTTATATGGACTTTGCCTTTTTTTCCCTTTAATTTCAGGTGTATTTTTTTACAGTGGGCATCCAATAAAACAGGTAGATATCTTGGGAACTGTAATTGGAGTGAGAGAAAGAGATGCTTTCTACATTTGTGGAGGTAAGAACAATTGTGTCTGACATAGAGTTTATGTGGAAGGACCCCACTTAGCTGGACATTGAATTTGAAGCAACCCCAGCCTTTCAGAGCAGCTGGGGCCTCTCATAACCCCCTTGCACTTGTCCTCTATTGGAAACCATTTGCAGCCACCAACATGGACTAAGTGTAAAATGAGGCAACGGGTGGGAATGATATTGATGAATATTGTCAGGTGACAGCTGCTGGGGAGCTAGGAGGCAGAAGAATTAAACTGCAGTCTAGGGTCACTGGTTCATCAGGGACAGATACCTGATACCTAGGGCATAGCTATAAATAGCAAAGGATGGTGATATATGTTTATATTGATACCTTTAAAATAAAAAGGCAAGATTAACATTAAAGTAGACTCTTTAAGAAGACAGGGAGATATGAAAAATAATTTATAAGATTTCTATCCAGAACAGTTAAAAAAAAAAAAAAAGCTTTTTGGTACCCAAAGGGGTAAATATCCATTATCAGAAAATTTCCCTTCCCTTATGATGATAGAAACTAAATAAAGGGTTTCTGTAGTTTGGACACCAGCGAACTATTAGAATATGATTTTAGTGTCATGGGTCTTGACTTTTTTTTTGCATTGAGTTTAATATAATCATTTTAATATATTGCCTAAGATTCTCTGTAGTTAAGAGGCCAAGCTGGGTATTTTGTGGGAAGCTTAACTTTGAATTCCAACCTTTGCTATAATTGACATTGTCACTTTTTGTTGTATTCACTTGGATTTGTATTATTTTTCTACTTGGGGAAAAACAGAAGGCAGTTGAACTAGGTGACCAAGAACATTTCATTGGCAGTCTGTGCATGATTGATAATTTACAGATACAATTTCTTCAACATATATTCATTTTCCTGGGGATGATTGTCTTGTGCTTATAAAATAACATGTGAGGGATGAGATTTCTCATGCCCTCTGCTTTTTCCCGGCTTGTATTTTTTTAAAACTCTGAAATAGATCATATTGTCATGCATCCCCATACTGGATCTCTTCTCTGCTTTATTTTACCAAAGATACTGGTTCTCTTTTTCTCCAGGCAGTTCAACAAACATTCACTAAGTTCCTACAGCATATACCCAGCTGCTGGCAAGGACGTTATCTGTAGTACGTTATAGTACTTCCACTCCAGGTACCAGTGATGAAATGATAGTATCTGTCGGTTTACAGAGCACTTATGCATGCATAATTTCATGTTATTCTCCTCCCAATCCTTTGAAATGGAAAAGACAGATATTATTTCCATTTTATAGATGAGAAAACTAAGGCTCAGTTACTTGCTCAAGGTTCCACTGATGGGTCCAGTCTCTTTACTGACTCTAGTGTGCTGTGTAGTCTCCATATAACTCAATTTCTAAAAGAAAAAGAGATTTTTCTATCAGTGTTAATCAGGGGCTAGGGGGCAGGGAGGGATGAATAGGTGGAGCACAGAGGAATTTTAGGGCAATGAAACTGTTCTGTATGATTCTGTAATGGTGGATGTGTGTCATTATAAGTTTGACCAAACCCACAGGATACACAACACCAAGCGTGAACCCTAATGTAAACTATGGACTTTGACTGATAATGATGTGTCAAGCGTAGATTCATCAATTGAAACCAATGTACCACTCTGGTGGGGATGTTGGTAATGCGGAAGCTATACGTGTGAGGGGGCAGGGGATAATGGGAAACCTCGGTATCTTCTGCCCACTTTTGCTGTGAACCTAAAACTGCTCTAAAAATAAAGTCTATTAAAAAATTTTTTTTTTTAAAAAAGAGATTTTTCTCTGTCCCATGCCCCTCCTCCCACAATATTCTTTTTTTTTTTTTTTTTTTTTAAATTTTTTAAAAAATTTTTTTTTTTAAAAAAAAGGTTTTTCTCTGTCCCCAGCCCCCCCCCCCCCCCCCCCCCCCAAAATCAGCTGCATCTGGTTTTTAATTTTCTGGTTTTTAGATCAGAATGAGGCTATTTGAGGATCTCAGTCCTAGCTGTAGAACCAGGTCAGATATAATGCCTCTGACCTAAAAGGGTTTCATTTAACCCCTTTTCCCATCACAAAGAGATGAAGGCAATATGGCTGACTCTTCCCCAATAAACATTTCTCTTAGACTGGATGTCGTGAGAGCATGGCACATCTGTGGTTTGTGGGGAAATGAAAAGCGTCTGAAGGTTGAAATAATTGAGAGTATAAACACTTGGGACTTTAATTCCTGTGAGGCCTGTTCAAGGGAAAGCTGCACATACCCTGATGTTCTCAGTCCCAGCTTGGCTCTCGGGCCACCTGCCAGGTGGCTACTCCTGCTGTCCCAGGTTCTGTTCCTCCTGACTCACTACAGGCATATATGCTGGGGTTGCTTCCTACTCACCCTGGTTCGTCCCATGGCTGGAACAAAAGGCCGGCAGCCCAGGCCATGCTGCCCAGCTAGGGAGGACACTGCCCAGCATGGCAAGAACACTCCCCTTCCAGGGCCTTCCAGTAGCCAGGCCTCAGGATGCCAGGGCGGTGTCTGCTGGGAGAGGTTACCAACCAGGAAGTCAGAGAGTTTGGTGGAAGTGCCCTGAGCACACAGAGCACCTGGCAGCAACTCAAGCTCAGACCTAGAATCCTGGGAGACTACAGTCAAGACCAGAATGACCTCACATTTTCTAGAACAAATACTCATGTGCCAATATTTTTTGACTGAGAATTATAAGGCAAGATTTTAAACTGGCCAGAGAAGTAGTGTGTCTAGAAGTGTCATACATTATTTTTTTAACTCAAAATGTCCTTATTGATTGTTTTTTTTGCTTCTTAAAATGATACTCATTCTAAAATAAAATTTAAAGCTAGAGAAAATTTTAATGGAGTACATAAAGCTCATGTGAAATGCTGTAAATCAGATAAAAACAATATCAGTGTTTAGGTGAACATCCTTCCTAGTTTTTCTAACATGTTCCTAATATGAAGAAATATAGGTATGCCTTATTTCTTTCTGTTTTTAATGTTTCTGGAATTAGGCTTACAGTCAATGTATACATTGAATATGGGGTTCCTTCTACATACTCCAAAAGAAACTGCTATTAGCATTTGAATGTCTTGAGATCATTTCTGTCAAAACACACTATTTATATTTTACATAAATTAGATTATATATGATATATATGACTATATATATATAATTTCTGTTTTGCAATGAGATTAATAGCAGTGACCATGGATCTTCATTATAACTTTGTATTCTCATGTGCCATGCCATTGTAATTTATTTAACCACTTATATATTTATAAACATTTAGGTTATTTCCAACTTCCAGTACTATAAGCAATATTATAATGAACAGCCTTATACAAAATATATATATCTGTGCATTTGTTCCATTTTTCTCTTTAGGATAAATTACTGGAAGTAAATACTAAGTCAAAGGATATAAACATTTCAAAATTAGATAGACATTTCCATACTTAGTCTTTAGAAATTTGGTATGAATTTACACTCCTGCTAACAGCATATGAGGGTATCAGTATTTTTAATATTTGTCATTCTAGTAGTTGAGAAGTTATTTAAATTTGCTTCTTTTTTCTGGTAACTAGTGATTTAGCATATACTGACATATGTCTGCTGGTCATTTTTGTACCTTCCATGAATGGCGTATTCTTTTTCTTTGCCACTTTTTCTCTTATAGTTTTGGTCTTTTCCTTATTAATTTGTATGAGTTCTTTATAACGATATTAACTCCATTATTTGGAAAATTGCCATACAGTGTTAGTTTTTAGTTGGTCAAATATATCAGACTTTTGGAATGAGTTGTGATTTTCAGGTCTGTTTAAAGAAGTCTCCCCCCACCAACTGTAAGCCCAGGACTGAAAGTATTCACCCATATTTTTTTCTCATCTTCTTAAGTTTACCTATATTGTATTTAATAAAATAAAATCCATCTAGAATTTATTTTAGTATAAGAAGTATTCTTCTCAGCTTCTGCTTTAAACACAGATTTAAACAAGCAATAAAGAAATTTTGCCATATGTTTCTTCTATATTACATGTGTTTTTACAACAGTCTAGCTGATGATTTTTTAAAAATCATTAAGCCCACCGAACCCATGTTGATCAACCTCTGTTCTGAGATTGTCAGAAATTAGGCCAAGAGAAACACCTCTCATCCTTGATCCTATCATCCTTCAAACATCTGCAAATTTTTCTGCAGTTATAAATCCAAGTACAATGAATTTTTTTTTTTTTTTTTTTTTTTTGCATTGTGGCTAAAATAAGCCAGACCAATACTGCTTGTGTGACCAAGGTATAATTATTTTTTATTATGAAAATAAAACTTTGCCCTTCTGTGATATGCTTAGCTTTCCTTACACCTCCTGCAGTGGTAAGGACTGGGTAGAAGCTCTTTCAAAGAGAAGCCCAGGCCAGAAGACTTGGGATGCTTTTCTGTCTTGGTAAGTCAGCAAGCTAGCGAGAGAGCACATGGTGACAGATGGCTGTGCTCTGAGTGCCTCTGACCACAGATCAGGCAATGGTCTCTGGTTGCAGGTTGGAGTGCAAGGCTGATGTTAGCAGATACTGAGATCTTTGCACTTAACTTCCTGAGGACACCATTTTTAGGAGAGGTTAATACCCTTGAGATAGGGTAAGAGAAACGCTGACTACATTCTGCTGGGCTCATGTATTACACTGACATTGCAGACAAGCAATTCCCACTGGAGTGTGGTGAGAGGTTATTTCTAAGGGTGGAAGAAAAGTTTGCTCAGGGATTTGCCCAACCAGGCTATTGAAAATGTCACCTTTCAGTTGGGCTGAATGCAATGGCAATGTGCTAATTCACCTGTAATGACCATATCTCTGTTCTACACTTTTACGCTTCTCTTGCAGTGGATGATAGCACTGGAGTTATAAACTGCATCTGCTGGAAGAAATTGAATAATACCAAATCCTCATCAGGTAATTTTATTTGCCACGCTTCTTTACCTTTACAGCTAACCAGTAGGTTTTACTCAGGGTAGCCCAGCAGAGTAGCTGGAGTACTAATTTTCACATTTATTCATTCATTTATTACATTGATCAACTTGAAGCACTACACCCAGAGCTTTGGCTGCTCTGCAAACTGATGTTAGTGCGGAGCCAGTTGCTTTTCTTGCTCTCATTTCTTTGGTGCTCACTTCCTCCTAAGCCTACAGGAATGTGAATAGGTTACTAGAAGTTGCAGTGTTTCATTTTTACCATGCCATTATTCCACAAGTCAAGAGAGTTTAGCCTAATTGCTGATCAGGTGAGAATCCCCTGGCTCTGGGCATATCACTTGACCAAAGCTTGTTTGAAAGCTTTTGCCCTGATGTGGTTGCCACTAACATCTATGCTCCCATTATCTAAATTTTCTGAAATCTCTAGCTTGTTCAAACAAATATGCCAGGAGTTCTAAGACTGATGAGAAGGTGAGATAGGATTCCCTTGAAGTTAGCCATTAAATAATATAAACTAAAAAAGAAATTTAAAATAGTATATTGAACTCATTGACTATAACTGAAACAGCATTTGGAATTTCTTGAGTCTGTTTTAATAGTCTTTAGGTAGTTTTTTGAGTTGCATAAGTTCATAATATTAAAAATAGATATATTGTGCAATAATGGTGATCATTTTTGGTTCTAGAGAAGCTATGGAAACTGGGGCCTTGTTTTGCTCTGTTTTATAGCATATGCATTATGATGCCATATACACTGGGGTTATTCAGTAAATATTACCTGCTCTGATATCTAACATCTACTATCTGTGTCCTCCTGTTATATGCGTGGTAAGAATGTGTAACACTTGGAGTAGTTTCTTCTTTTTTTTTTTTTTTGACATTACCTGTCAGAATCTCAACTTCCTACTTTGACTGTACTGACCAGTGAGATGCTCCTTTGCTTAATTTTCTGATGTATTTATATTTAGAATTTGGCCATCACTTTCATATAACTTTGGTATTCCTATTTCCTAATTTGGGAACATCTATATCAGTGGTACTACTTAGCTTAGGAAGCTTTGCAGATTAGAAAAAACTTAAGGCAGACAGCAGGTTTTTGTGCAGATATCTCAGAGGTAAGAAATAAACCTATAAGACAATCAGATATTTGAACTTTCATATATGTCCAGGGTATTAAAATTATTTGCAGATTTATGGTTGTGGTATTGTCACGATCTTCAATCAGAAGGCGTAGTTTCAATATGCATACTTGTTTTAAACCAAGGGTCAGCAGACTTTTTCTGTACAGGGCCAGACAATAATTGTCTTCTGGTTTGTGGGCCATGTGGTCTGCATCTCAACTGTTCAACACTGCCATTGTTAACACCAAAGCAACTATAGACAGTACATAAACAAACAAGCATGGTTGTGTTCTAATAAAACTTTATTTACAAAAACAGATTGTGGGTAGATTTGGTCCATGGGTTGTAGTTTATCGACTGTTGTTTTCGACATTGTTTTAATTTTCAAAATCAACTCTTTTTTTTTTAAATAAATGGCAGCAGAAATATTATATGATTCAGTAATTTTTTAGATAAAATGTCTATTAATACTGAAAGTGAGATTTTTAAAATATCTGTAAGTAGATGAATAGATGAACAGTCACAGTTGGTAGCCTTAATCAGAAATTGCTTTGAGAATAAAAAGTGAGGGTAGGGGTACAAGGAGAAAGCCTGAAAGTGATTCTCATCATGTTATATATGAAGTGATATTTTAAAATTGTTCCCAACTAGCCCATTCTCTCCATTTAATTTAATCGCCCTCGGTTTTAAAGCTTTCCACTGGAAAGTGTCCATTGAAGACTAATTTTTTTAAACGAAATTTAGTCTGAGTCAAAATCATGTTCTAGTCAGTTACAGTATAAAAATATAATATTAACTCCTATAAATGTCACACTGATTGTACCATTTGGACTTAGCTTATGAGAAAAGTTAAGAAAGCTTGGAGCTTAATATTAGAATTTTAAAGAGGATTTATCTTTCAGCATGGAATAAGCTACTTAAAATGAAATTCTGTCAGGCTCCAACTATCTCATTACACTCATTAAATTACACAGCTTGAGCCCTTCTTTTGGCAGTTTGGTTCACCCTTTAAATGAAAGCTGAGCCTCTTTTTCTCAGACCAGCCCTCAGTCTGATCATTTCAGCAGTGCTATATGAAGCATTTATTATCACCTATAATGTCTGAATCATGGCAGTGAAATTTGTAAATACTTCTAAAGTTCAGCCTAAATGGAAGAGGACTTAGGGATAGGAACCCAGACAGAATAACCTTTTAAAAAGTAATACTTGTGTATTTTCTGAAGAAACCCAGTAAGTTGAGTAACATTAATGCTGATTGTGTCTAGATTCCAAGCTCTTGGTTACTGGTCTATGCAAGGTTCTCCGAGCTCCTTAGGTTGCTGTTTCCCTTACTATAGTCAGTGTGTTAAAAGTAATAATGCCTTTGCACGTTACAGAGCCATGGTTATCTAAGTTGTATTAGATTAAGAAGCACAAAATTTGATCAATAGACCATTATTCATTCCATTATAGGAACCCTAGTATATGACAAAGCAGAAATAATACAACAGCAGGAAATAAGTAAGCATTTAACAAATGTTGTTGGTTCAAGTAGATAACAATATTAAAAAAGAGGTAACTGTGATCACTGTCTTACAACTTACATAAAATAACCCAAAGAAGATAGAGTTGTGTATTTATCACAATAAATATGGGGTTATCTATGTTAAGCTCTTATATGTTAAGCTGTTAAAGCAATGAAAGCTATCATCAGTGACAAGAGGGATAAACTAAAACATTTTTTTAAAACTTTTATGTATTAAAATGAAATCAAATTAACATAAAAAAGAAAGCAATGGAATGGGGAGAGTGGATGTAATAAGCATAACTGATAAAGCTTCCCTGCATTTTTTTCAGAAATGAACATGAAGTGTTCAAAAGAGATGAAGGGCTTATACATAAAGCAATGCAGAGAGCAGATCATCTTATATAAAAACACATGGTCTCTCTGGCAGTTTAAAAGCAAAAATAAAACATTATAGAATCATTATGTATTTTTTAAGGTGTTAAAAATCCAAATGACTGAAGCCAGTATAGGAGCTGCAAGCCCACACACATTGCTGGTGACACCTTGTAAAAAGAGAATGGTTTGATTGGGGTTTTTTGGCAAACATTCTGATAATATGTTAGGAACTCTAAACCTGTTTGTACTTTTCTACCCAGTAATCCCCAATGAAAGACCCCAAAGAAAACAAAATTTTTGTCTTGAGGGCTTAATTGTTCATTTTCACAAGTAGCTGACATTTATTGAATGTTTCCTATAGATCTGACATTGCGCTAAGCTCATGATGTAAGGGTTAACTAAGATCATACACAACAGCTCCATATGTGAAGGGCACTGTTAAATCCGCATCATAACTGAGGAAACAGGTACAGCAAGGTTAAGCAGTCTGCCCAAGGTCACACAGCTAATAAGAAGTGACCTGACATTCAAGCCAGGTCTGTCTGACTCCCTTTACCCAAGCTGACCTCTCAGCCCCATACAGCGGTAGTGATAAAAACCAAAATAAAAAATTATGAAAGAAGGAAGAAATATTTAACGAGATTAGCAAAACAAACTGTGGCATATGAACATGACAGAATGCTATTTTGTTATTTAAAATGCTGAGTTGTATAGATTCTGTGGATACATATGTGTATTTGAAGTGATGCTAGACAGAAAAACAACACAAAATTGTTTACACACATGAGCTATAACCATGGAAAATATAAGTATACTCACGGGGCAGGCAGCAGAGAATAAAGAATAAGCAGGAAGGCTCTGGAGTCAGAGACTGCCAGGGCTTGAACTCCAGCTTTGTTGCTAACTAGCTGTTTTACTGTGGGCAAGTTGCTTGACCTCTGTGTGACTCAGTTTCCTCATCTGAAAAATGGGGCTAATAATAAGAGTGGTTGTGAGGATTAGATGCACTGATAGGTTATAAAGTCCTTAGAACAGAAAGAGAGAGAAAGAGAAGGTTAGCCTAGCTACTCAACAAAGAAAAGTGAGAGAGATTAGGGTGTTGAGCACCTTGGTGGAAAATCAAACCCTGGCCAATTTGCCTTCCCCATAAACTACCACAAATGGAGACTCTTGGGCGCCTTTCCCCTCAGGCCAGGCCTCTATCTCCCAGCAAGGACACTTTAAAGGGTTGTTTAGAGCTATTGCCACCAAACCCGGCTGAACTCACAGAATTCAGCTCAGGCAGGCGTAGAGCCCTTTGCACAGGCGATGCAGGGGTAGGAAAGAAGACAATGGAACTCACCCACTGGGTTGTCAAGCCTTATACCTTTTATCCAGTAGAGGATTTTGAAAGATTACGCAGGTTTCCTACAGTAGAGCAACCAATCAGAAGTAGAATAAATAAATGTCTCATGTCGGTCTTACCACAGACTGTCTCCCAAATGTGGTGGAGTGATTGTGTTACGCATTTCTCTCCTTCCTTCTGGCCCCAACAACTACAGCTGCTCCGAGTGCAAGAGAGCTGAGCTTAACCTCACAGCTTAAGAAGCTGCAAGAGACCATTGCGCAGAGGACAAAGGTAGAAATTGGGGACATTATCCGGATCAGAGGTCACGTCCGCATGTACAGAGGAGAGCGAGAAATTCACGCCACTGCTTATTGTAAGCACAAGATATCTCTGCCAAATTGGTTGTTATTCTGTGCGTGTGTCCAGTAAACTCATTTAGCGAAAAGTCAAACTTCTAAAAAGTTCAAATAAAAAGATTTAACTCTAATGAAGGAACAACATGCTTTCTTTAGAAAAGTAGCATTTCTTAATTTTATTTTGAAGAGGTAACTATAAATAAATTGGGAAAGAAAACAAGTGATTTATTGTATATGGCTGACAAATTTTATTCAACATTTGGACAACATAGTAGAGTCTCTGAGTGTGAATCCATTTAGGGAAGAGTGTTCATAGTCTTCAAAATGATGGAAATTTCTTGAACACCATTGAGTCCATTAACTTTGAAAGAAAACAGCTAATCAAAAGTGTGACAGTTCTCGGTCATCTGAGTGGTGCCCTTTGCACCTCTCTGGCTGGTTTGTACTTGGAAATCTCAAGGACAGCCCAGTTGTCCACCATTGTACCAGATCAGTGAATACACTCATGTGCTTTCCCTAGCCCTGGTCTACTCTGGCCATGCCCGTGTCACTTAGGGTATCGCATCCCCTCTCACAGGATGACTGGGAACCATTCAGTGCGTTTAGACTGTGATACTGGGCATCCTTGAGGAAGGAGACCCACCAAGTGCTCCGTTTACTGTTGTCCTGGCAGCAATCTGGACATGGACAAGAACTAATCTCAGTGTAATTTCTGTGGCATGCTTTCCCCTGGGGCTTGTTAGATAAAGTGGATGATCCCGTGTGCAACATTCAAATCGCAAGGATGCTTGAGCTGCCCACCATCTACAGGAAAGTTTATGACCAGCCTTTCCGCAGCCCAGCCCTGGAGAAAGAAGAGGCACTGAGGTAAGTTCTGGACTGTGACTGCCGAGGATGTGGCCACAGCAATGAGGCCAACCAGTGGGATCCCAGATTCTGGGGTGGGCCTGGGTCCAATTCCTGAACTGTCCACTCACTCACTGTGGGGCTCCAGGCAAGTCTGTCCCCCTCTGGATGCCTCAGTGTCCTCACCTGTAAAGTGAAGGTGTTAATAGTGCAGGTGTTCTAAGGTTTGGTAAGGAAGATATATGTGTAATTGGAGTCTCTGAAGGAGTGGAGTGGGGGAGCAGAGAAAAAATGTTGGAAGAAATCATGGATGAAAATTTTCCAAGTTTGATGAGAACTGTAAACTCACAGATCCAAGAAGCTCAGTGAACCCCAAGGCAAGGAACCTGAAGAAAACCACACCAGGCACATCGTAATCAAAGAAACAATGCCAGTTGTTCTCAACCAGGGGTGGTTTTATTCTCTTTCAGGGATGGAAAAATAAACAGGAGGAGTAAGAGTATATGTATATTTGTTCCTACACGCCTCAAATAACTCAGAGGAGACAGAAATCATCATAGTGGCTGCCGGGGAGGGGGGGGCGGTGGTAGGGGGACTGGAAGGAGGATAGAAGGGAGACTCTTCACCATGTACCCTTTCCATTTTTTAAACATATTCAATATTTATAGATTACATATTCCAAAAAATTATATTAAAAAAACCCCAAACTGTAGACCTGCATAAAGTAAAATGTGGAAGTTCTCCATTTTCCTGTCTCCCGCCTCAGTAGCATTCCCCAGAGGTTACCACTGTGCAGAGGTTGATGTGTGTATCCTGTTAGACGTTTTTCTTTGGTTGCATACACAAGCATGAATATCCACCCACATATTTTGTGGGTTGTCATTTGCTTCCTTACAAAAATGGCACCGTCCCTCACATACTGTTCCGCAGCTTGACTTTTTTCTAAATCTATCACGAATATCAGTTCCTGTAGTTCTGCCTCATCCTTTTAAACAACCACACAGTGTTCACTGGGTGAACTGCTCCTTATGTCAAAAACATGCATCAGTATAGTATTGTACTTGCTAGCTGTTTCAGTTTTACATGCATCGAAAAGGAACAAAAGTAATAGTTTTCTGCAGGGCTTGTTAAAACTTTTTCCCAGCAGCAATCCAGGCGCCCTGGACCTTGACAGTCTCACGTATCTGCTGAGTGAAAAAGTCAAAGAATTCCTTGTGGAGAACAGAGTGCAAACCTTTTACCAGCAGGAGTTGGAAACGGTGGAGTCCCTGCTGTCCCTTGCCAACCAGCCTGTGATTCACAGCGACTGCTCCGGGCGAGTAAGTGCAGCATGCCCATGTGAGAATTCGAGGCCCCTGCCCCACATCTGCAGGTGGAGGGTGTGGGTGGACATGACTGTGGCATTGAGACTCACAGGGTGTACCCGGAGTATAGAGGTTATGTTGATTCTATTCTGGAAAAGTCACTGACCACTGAGAATTTGAAAGGAGAATGCACATGCCCTTTTCCCCTCCTTAATCTCATAAAGCTTAATCTTCGGGTAGAAAAAAAAATAGTCTAAGGTTCATAGCACTTAGTACTCACTGAGATGGGTATTTAATGTCAGGAGGAACCAACTGAGGGGGAAATAGATGAGAAGAGCTAAAATTATCCTTCCAAGATTATTTTTTGATCAGCAAGATGATTCTTGAACTCGAACCAAGGTTTTTAATGACTTGTTCTGTCTTCTCCAGAATAAGGTTGATCTGTCGTGTCTTAGGAGTTTGAATAAAGATCAAGTTGTATTCAGTCTGGTTTATAAGTAAAAATTGCAGGGAATACTCAAGTAATTTTTTATTCATCCTAGAAAGAGCTGTCCTCATTTTTTTTTTTTTTTTTTTTTGCGGTATGCGGGCCTCTCACTGTTGTGGCCTCTCCCATTGCGGAGCACAGGCTCTGGACACGCAGGCCCAGCAGCCATGGCTCACGGGCCCAGCCGCTCCGCGGCATGTGGGATCTTCCCAGACCGGGGCACGAACCCACGTCCCCTGCATCGGCAGGCGGACTCTCAACCACTGCGCCACCAGGGAAGCCCTGTCCTCATTTTTTAACACCCATAGTGTTAGAGGTGAACTCAAGTTGTTTGGTGTTTACTTATTTGCTTGGAATTAAGAATTATCTGAGACTTTGGTTTTAGGCTTTCCTTTTCATGGCAATTCCTTAGTTTTTTTCTTGCTGTAACACGACTTGTATTTATTTATTTCATTTATTCCACTGGGAATGATCTCTGCTTGAATGTCACCTTCTTGCCCTCCCTGACCTTCTGCTCTGATAGCCACCAGCTTCCTCACTGTGTTATCACTCTGTTTCCACATTTCGTGATAGCACTGGTATTTATTTGTTTTGTGTGCCTATTACCCCTCCAGAATTTAAGTTCTCTAAGAGCAGAGGCTTTGTCTGTCTCATTCTTTGCTCTCTAGAACAGGGCCTAGAACATGGTTGGCATAAAGTATGCTCTCCACAATTATTTGTTGATTGAAGGAATGAAAGGTTTTAAAAATTCAAATAGTCCGGGAGTTCCCTGGTGGTCCAGTGGTTAGGACTCGGTGCTTTCACCACTTTCAGGGAACTAAGATCCTGCAAGCTGTGCGGCACAGCCAAAAAACAAAACGAGAAAACAAAAATAGAGAAATTAAAAATCCGAATAGTCCAGGAAACTGTCTAGTTTTTAAGTTTCCTTCCCATCCTCCTTCCTCCTCCCCTTTCTACAGAGACGAGCGCCATTACTAGTCTCATGAGTATCCTTCTGGAGAAAATCTGCATATATAAACTAGAAGTAGTTGTATCCCCTTTTTTACACAAATGGTATCATACTAAACACTATGTCTACCTAGGTTTTCATTGGACAGCATGTCTTATAGGTCCTTTCCTAGCTATACTTACATATTTGCTACTCTATAATAATCTTTTACTATGTGTATCATCATTTCCTTAAGGGGTCTCTCCATTCCTGGACTGTTTAGATGTTTTCTAGTCTTTTGCCATTACCAGCAGGGCTGCCATGAGTACCCTTGTGAGGTAACATAATTATTCTTTGTGATTCTGGTGGAACAGATACCAGGTCTCTGTCCCGACCTCCTAAGCATGACCACTGCTTCTCAGTTTCGTTCGTGAACTTGATTATCTCTTCCTGTCACCAGGCTGTGTGCCCAGTGACCCGCAATTTCATACATGGAGATGAAGGATATTGTTTCCGGAAACACCGAGGTGGGGAGGGTCAGGACTGGCCGCTTTGTTCTGTGCCACCGTTGCTTCTGCACAGTTGTAGCTCCCCAGCTGTCCACTGGCAGCAGGAGTGACCTTCTTCCCATTTAATCATTTAGAGGAGGCTCAGTGCCAACTTGGCCTCCCAGGACTTCTGACCACTCTCTTGGCATGTTTAGAAGGAAACGTTGAAGCTTAGCAAAGACCACATCTTCCTGTGAGCCAGCTCTTCTGCGATAATTAAGTAGGGAGAATTGAGGACTAAAAGGCCCCTCCATTCAGAACATTCCAGGGAGGACTTTTGTTGTGATATCTTTTTGAGAATGCTTAGAAAAGAAATTTATATCTGCCCAGTGCTATATGTTTAAAAAGAAATGAATATGGCAGTATATCTGTTTTGTCTTTGGAAACTACTTTTCCATCAGTTATGAATTATTCCCTCACATGGCTCTGGTTGGGGAGGTCAGTGTCATTAAATTGAATTCTGTTTAATAGAGCCTGGGAGACCCAGGATGCTTTACAATGATGGTGAAACCTTAGATCCTTTGGCACTTTCTGTAGTCATACAGATGAAAGCTTAACAAAAAAAAATCATTGCGATGTTGTCTTAGCTTAGAGGCTGGGGAGAGTGGGTTTGAATGTTTCCCCCTTTCTTTTTTTCCACAGTGGCCCCTTTTAGCAAATCCAGAAACATGATAAGCAAACCTTGCAAAACCATTGTTTCTTTGACAACTTGATAAATGTTGAGTTTGTTTGGGAGTGAAGACTATATATATATTTCAGAGATCCACCCAGTTCCTGACCTGCCACAAGGAGAGGCCCGCTAAGGCTCAGCCCGTTCAGCTGGTCACTGTTTTTGTTTCTGAACAGTTTCAGTTTCCTGAATGGGATGAGTCTGTCATTGCTCTTTAGAAAAAGACAAGAAAGACACACATCTCAGGCCAGGAAAAGCTACTAGCTAGAGGGATGATTGGAGGCTTTATCCTTGAGACTGTGTCTTTATAACCAGCAGGGAATTATGTCCTGAGTTCAGCTGAGGCAAATGTTTTTGGAAAGGAAGCTTCACATATTGTTTATATTTACAGAGAGCCTTTTCTGCTGGGTCCTCCTTGTTCACAGCTGAAACTGCTTTTACTCTCCCAGGCCTCACACCCTCTCTTCCTGCTGCTTGATCTGACTGAGATCTGGAAGGAGGAACCGAGCTTTCTGTATGGTCTGAGGATAACCAAGAGTCATTTTTAATGACAGGAATAATCGTGCAACAACATTTCTAGTCAGTTTCCAATTTACTTCTATATTGGTAAGAGACATAATAAACTCGACCCTTAGGATCCTTATATTAAATTGACCAAAGAAGACGAATCTCCTGAGAGTTATGAAGCTGAAATAGTTATAAAGTCACGTAGGGGAGCCTGTGTTGGGTTGAGCGTTCTTTTCCTAAGCGAGAGCACTCACGTATGACATTAAAAACAGCTTTGCCTCAAGCCCCCCTGAATGAAAAGATATGTGACTGAGGATCGCTGGGAGAGGTGTTTATTCTAAACACACCCAGGTAGACTTTTCTGCCCGTGGGAGTCATCAAATATTTCTCAACCTGTTCTCCCTTCAGAGAATGGGTGCTGTCATAACCTGGAGTGCTTGTCAACTCTCCGGCCCTTCTGTTCTGCTGGCCAGGTTCTCCAGGCCTGTTCTGTTGAGGAAAAACCTAGGCTATTAATTAAGAATGTTAGTCTCTCCTGTTCAGCTCAGGAGAGCACATTTGTGAAACATCACCGAGATCTGTTAGATTCAAACAGTGCCTGTCTGGGAGGCCTCTTCTAGAAAACGCAGATTTCTTTCAGGATGGAGCTGTCAATACTTGAGGCCATTTGGGAGTTCCTTTCCTCTCCCTGTCACTTTGTGGGAATGTCATCAGCAAATCCCAGGCCCGCTCTCTGTTTCAGCATCTGTGGGTGCTGCCCCAGACAGCCTCCATAAGGACCTTCCATCAGAGGAGTAGGACTGTGCCTTCAAACACTCTTTTGGAAGCTTTGCCACGTTTCTTTGGCACTCTGATCCTTCTAGTATCTTGATGTATTTCTGTCACATTACAGATGGATCTGTACCTTGAAGGACACTTATTACTTACCACTTCCTTTGTTTTAGGAATGAACTGAAAATCCCTAATGGAATAATTAGGAGGATATTGCCTACCTATATGGGGTGTTGCCCCTGACTGCACACATATTTTCTCCATCACCCACTATGTGTCAGGGAGCAGGTGGCCGAGATGAGTCCCCAGCTCAAGAAGCACACAGTCTAGTTAACCATGGTAGGACATAGCTGAAAACCTGGCCTCCTTGAAATAAGAAGTAGGATGACCTGGTAACCTCTCTAGGCAAACTTGACTCTTAGAGAAGGGAAGGGATACTGAAATTGAGGAGAGAGCAAACTGACAGCAGCAGTTTGGTGTTCTTGCTTCCCCTAAGGCCCTGTCCACCTTCAGCCCATGGACCCTCCCCTTTGACAGATCTCTGCACAGCTGTTTGTCTCCACTGTCCTCCATTTAAAATAAGGAGTCTATTTAATACTCTCTATGTGCTGGAATCCCCAACTTATTATTTCAATGTGTGTAAAATTCTTTGATGTCCGTAGGAAGAAGTTGCCACAATTTTAATGAAAAAAGTGAGCCAGTAGGTATAGAATTCTTGGCTCTGTATAAAAAAATAAATCAAAGATTGTCATTTTGGGCTTCCCTGGTGGCGCAGTGGTTGAGAGTCCACCTGCCGATGCAGGGGACACGGGTCTGTGCCCCGGTCCGGGAAGATCCCACGTACCGCGGAGCGGCTGGGCCCGTGAACCATGGCCGCTGAGCCTGCGCGTCCAGAGCCTGTGCTCCACAATGGGAGAGGCCACAACAGTGAGAGGCCCGCGTACCGAAAAAAAAAAAAAAAAAAAAAAAAGATTGTCATTTTGATATTTCCATTTTATATCATTGAGTTAAATGAATTAAACAAACAAAAAATCGTAGATAACCAAGGTGTGGAACAGTTATCGAGTGTGATTCTGCCGAAGCGAACTTCCCAGTCCTCCTTAAATACCATCCTGCTAGGCCCGTGCATACCTGAATCTTTTTGACTCAGCAGATAAAAAGCCTGTTGGATGAATTTATAACCAGTTGGTCTAGGGAGTTGCCCTCAAGTGCTGTAAGATGGGACTTATTTGTTTTCTTCTTTTTTTTTTTTTTCCTTTTTTTCTTCCTACAGGAGGATTTTAAGAATGAAACCACTTCCAAGGCAATTCATAGTATATTTAGGAATGCTATAAAGCTGCTGCAGGAAGAAGGACTTGTTTTCCAGAAAGATGGTGGTTTTGATAACCTGTTCTATGTAAGAGACCTGCAACTTAATTTTTTTTCTTAGCTTCAACTGCAAATATATTTATTACTTAGGATTGTTTATTTACTGTTTTTTTAAAATCAGTCATTAGGAGGTACATAAAGTAAGGAGTGAAAGGTGGCCCTTAGCTTTCCTCAAGATACCGCTTTTAACAGTACAGCCTTCGGCACACATGTAAATATATGCTCCTGTTACCAAAACGATGTGATCTTCCTCTGAATCAGGATTTCTCAACCTCAGCACTGTTTGAGCCAGATGATTCTTTGTTGTGGGGTGTTGTCCTTTGCATTGTAGGATGTTTGGCACATCCTTGGCCTTCACCTACTAGATGCCGATAACAGCACCCCCAATTGTGGCAACCTAAACGTCTCCAGACATTGCCAAGTGTCCCCGACACAGTTGAGAACCACTGCTCTAAATAATGCTCAGCAACTTTGGGGGATGCCAAAATAGCACATCACAGTCATCTTTCCATGTTAGTCCTTACAAATCTATCTCATTCTTTTTGACATCTGCATGGTTTTCCATATTGTAGGACCTTGCCATAAATTGTTTAACTACTTATCTCTGATGGACATTTATATTGTTTCCAACTCTTGTCCTCACATATAGTGTTGCTATGTCTGTTTTTTTGTGGACTTATGTAAGTATTTCCGTAAGATTGACTCTTAAAAGAGGAATTGCTGGAGTAAAGGGCATGTACCTTTAAGCTTTTGATTGCCTCCTCCAAAAGTGGTACCAATTAACATTCCCACCAGGGGTACAAGTGCTTGCCTACCTCATACTTTGAGTTAAAAGTTCACCTCTCACTGCCTACCTTTAATATGGGAGGAACCAAGCTGATACTGATGTTGTTATCGATATTGATGTCCACTTTAGTAGCATAGATGTAGCTTCAGCTGTGAGCGATTCTCCTGAAGACAGATTAGAACTCTGAGAGATCCCAGAAGCCTCTTTCTTTACAGGCATGATTCCCGAGGGAAAGCTTTACTTAATAGGACATTTTCTTGACGTTGATTAACTCTAGTGATTCCCCATTTTAGAACATTTAAAAAAATTGAGATATGTTTTAAATACGATTTAAATAACTTCTGAAAAGGGTATTCCATTCCGTATAAGGGTGAGGGCAGCCCCCCGCTCCGCCCGCCTCCCAGGACGGGCAGGCCTGGTGGGAGCTGGTTGCTTCTTGTGGGGTTGGAGAAGCTCATGCTGGGCAACTCACCCTAACACCCTCCCACCCCCACCCGCACCCTCACATCGCCCCCCGGGAGGTTCTGCGTGGCCTCCTGGGTCAGTAGGAAGCTGCTCTTCCTGAGGAACAGCAGACCATGGGCAGCAGTCCAGGGATGAGGTGTGGCAGGGCTGGGGCACTTCCTCCTGTGAATCAGTCTGAGCTGGAATGGGGTGATCCAGCTCTAATAGCTCTATTTTCCTCAGCAGAGCCACCCCCCTTCTCTGACTTCACTCCCGCCCTCTGCCTCAACCCTGGCTCCTAGGTTTCTGTTTTCCTGAGGGCATTGCCTCAGGGACAGAGTTATCTTTTCTCTGTATAGTGCTTTCCAGCTTTCAGCAGCTCTCCCACATTACCTTACTTAATCTTCCCAACACCCTGTTAGTCCAGAGAAGTGTCCTTATCAGAATCCCCATTCTTAAATCTGCTCACTCCAAGTCCGTCAGTCCAAGGAGCATTCCTGACATATGTGTTTGTTTGCGTACTTTTTTTTTTTCTCCTCCTTCCTTTTTTCCCCTTCCTTTCTTCCTCTTTTTTCCTTTCTTCCTCTTTTTTCCTTTCTTTCTCTTTGATTTTAGATTTACTGTTGAACATGAAGGTGAAACCCATTTGATGGCTGCTTCCCTCTTACCGGAGCTGGCTGAGAAAGGAACCTTGGTTATGTTTGCCTTTGAGAACAGACAGTGTTTCCATTCATAAGCTAGATTTACTCTCTTGCTAGCTTTGCCTTACAGTTTTATTTCTTTTGTTTTTTTCCCTATGGTTGGGTGAAGGAATGTGAAACCCAAGACAGAAAAGAAGAAACACAAGAGGAAAGAGTTCTCGGGTTTGATCACTTGTGCCTCCCTCAAGAATATAACGAATAAGAGAACTTTTATGAATGTGTTATGAATATTTAAGAAGAAAGTTGCTCCTTGAAAGCAAGGGATTCCAGCTTTTCTTTCTGTCATGGCCCCCGTAAACCACCTCCTGAGGGAATATGCCTGTGGGTGGACTTCAGAGCAGTGAGCTACTTAGGGACAGAACTGGTTTGACAACTGGCCAGGTATCAAAAGGGACACTCTGTTGGTGTAGGGATGAGGATTGTTATGAAATCTTTAGAAACTATCCTAAAGACTAATTTGGGTGTCTGGATGACACAACCTCTGTTTTACTTAACATTTCTTTCTGAACTGTTTTTCCTATTTAGGTAACCAGAGAAGACAAAGAATTGCACAGAAAGATCCACCAGATCATTCAAGAAGACTGCCAGAAACCAAATCGTAAGTGGTGTCATGTACATGTGTCTTGGTGCCCTGGAGGGGGCTGTCTCCTCCCGGAGAGCACTAGATGGAGAGTCAGGAAACCTGGGGCCTTTCCCAGTAACAACTTGGGAAGCATGACTGGTCAAGATACCTGCCCTCTCTGAGCCTCAGACTCCTCCTTTCTAAAGTGAGCGTTAGCCTTGCACAGTTGTTCTGACATGGGCCACACGTAAGAGTCAACCTTGGAGCTTTTTTGAACATACAACACTCAGGTCCCACCCCTAGGGATTCTGATTCACGGGGGGCTGGGATGGGGGCTAGACAGGTGAGCTCCTCAAGTCATTCTGATACAGCAAGGTCAGCTGTTAGGCTAGGACTTTTTAACATCCTTCTGGTTTCGTGTCCTCTGTAATTTGTGTTATTTCTTGTTCCACTCGTCCTTCTTGTCGCTGAACTGAAACCTGACATTTTCCTCTCTTCTAACATCAAGCCCTTCAAGGTTGGGAGGAATGGTTCTAGACATTACAATTTGTGAACAGTGTAATTCAGTCATCCTGAAACCTGATAATTTACAAAAGAAATGGTTGAGAAAATAGTTGGTTTTAGTGGAGTTAGATCAGCCCCTAGTGGTTAGAAACTCAAACTGTAAAGAGTCTGATAACAGACATTACCATTTTCATACTAGTCAGAAAGAGAAGAAAGCATTAGTCCTATGTTTAAATCCTGTGTAAACTGATCGCTCTTAAAGGTGACTTTTCAAAGTCTACCTTTTGAAAACATGTGCTATTAACAAATGTTGGCATATGTCAACAAATGACGGCAGAAGAAAAGTGGAAAGGCTTGTTAGTGAGCACAGGCCTCCTCATTCTGCTTTCTTTCCCCGGAGGTCCACCTCCAGTCCTTAAAGCCCATATATCCCTGGGGCCTGGACCTGTTCCAGGCTGAGTCAGCAGGTGGAGCTGGACCAGATCTCCAGCCCTGGTGTTTATGGTATGCAGCCTTATTTAGCTTTTAAGGACCCATGAAGTCACCTCCCAGAGTGGTGTGACAACAGGTCTTAAAATAAACTGAAAGCAATCTATTATTTTAATGCAAGGTTTCTAACTATTGTTCACTTCATTCAGAACAAGAAGGATAAATATCCTTTAGTTGGGGGAAAAACCACCTATCCACAATTTAAGGAGCTTTTTAGAGCTGTGAAATGTGGGATTCTTCAACCAAGAAGGGATGAGAGGAGAGGCTGGTCCCCAGGTGACATTCCTGCACTCATGGTAGTCCCAAGCCATCTGGCTAGATTCTTATTTTGATGTGTATTAGGAACAGGGTGGATTAAAGTAATCCTAGGGCCTGCTGAAGCAAATGAAAGCAATTCACACTTCATTTCTTAGGAGAACCAAACAGCCTTGGTGAACTGAGGGTCTATAAAGTGGCAGGTTTTATATCCACTTCTAATCCACAGGCCAGCTCCTGCTTTGGTGAGTGTGTGTGTCAAGGTGGACAGGCTCTGCTACTCAGTCTGTAAATAGGAGCCTTTAAAAAACATAAGCCAACTCCCTGGAACTAGTAAACTCCCAGGAGACAAATTCTGGAGCATGAGTAACTGAGAATACCAGTAAACATACCTTGTAGGAACTGTCAGTCTGTTGCAGCCACCGCTTTTCACAAGAAATACCTATGACATTAAAAAATTATTTTGAATAATGTATGCACAGGATAAAAAGTCAAAAAGTACAAAAACACACACAGAAAAAGTGAGACTCCCTCCCAACACTGAGCCCCAGGCTCTGTGTTCCCCTTTCCAAAGGCAATGGGTGTTACTAGTTTCTGGCATATCCTTCTAGAGATGTTATATGCACTTATAAACATGTTTGTATAGTTTATCCTTTCTAAAAAAACATAAGTAAAGCTTAGCATACAATACTCAGTGTTTTATACCTTGTATTTTAAATCTAACATTGGCTTCTAGCGGTCATTCAGCAACAGTATGTGTAAAAGTACCTGTCTTTTTAATGGCTGCACAGTATTCCACTATATGTATTGATAGATATTCGACCATTTATTTAAGTATTCCTACTGAACCTTTAGTTTGTTTCTAACCATTCAGTATGAAACATAGCATTGAGTTTTCCTTGGCAGTATGATTGGTAGGAGAACTTAAAACCTTTAGTCACTTATGAATATTTCAGCAGAGGGTAAACCTACAATAATGAAAGGGTTATAAACATGGGCCAGTTTTAGGTCCCTAAAGCACTGATACAGGGTTTGTCTGAAGATGGGCCGCATGGCATAGTTGTGAAGAGCTGGGCTCTGGAGCCACCTTGCTTGGGTTTGAATCCCAGCTCTGCCACTTCGTAGCTGTGTGGCCTTGAGCAAGTCTGTGCCTCAGTTTCTTTATACGCAAAGCAGGGATAATAATCGTACCTACATCATGGGTTGTTATGAGGATGAAATAAATTGGTGTTTTATGAAACTTAGGAATATGGCAGAGTAAGAACACCAAGAATCCTTCCCTCCACTTCGACAACAATTGCATCTGTCTGATGTAGCTATTTTGAAACTCTGGAGTCTATCAAGGCTAGCAACTTCCAGAGGAAGGTTTGGACAATGAATTGGGGTTAATTTCAGTCAATTTTCAGATCTTAGTAGCAGCTACTCATCCCCCATCCCCAGCTACATGGCAGGCGGCTGTGCATGTGTTTCTGGAGCAGTTTGTACAGAGCTTGTGGGAGCTAGCAGGTGCAAAAAGGACCCAGTCCTCCATGTATCAGGGATTTGTGCTCTGATCACCAGTTGCTGCTTCTGATCACAGAGGTGCAGGCAGAGAGGTGGGTGGCCCTTGTTGTACCTCCTCCCATTGTTGTAAGCTGCTCACCCAACAGCTGAAGTGACTTCCAGGGGATTTAAAAGACTGGCACCCTTTTTTTTAAACCCCTTCATTTCTCTTTTTTACCCCTTTTGGAGCCAGAAAAGAAAGACTAGAACATTCAAGAGCACCTGCATATATGGGTAAAATTAGAAAGTGACCACACATGCCCAGGGAAAGGCACAGGCTCAGAAGTAGACCTGAGAAGACCTTAGGTTTCCATCTCAGGCTGCTCCTTGGCACAGTGACAGCCTACAACAACCAAAAAAATAAAAACAATAACAAAAAGCAGCAAACACCACAGAAGGTGAAGAATCTAATCTCCAGAGTTACCACATTATTAGATTCAAATGTCCAGTTTTCAACTAAAAATGAAAGACATTCAAAGAGACAGGAAACTATGGCCCATTCAAAGGGAAAAAAAAGCAACAGAAACTGTCCCTGAAAAAGACCTGATGGCAGATTTATTACCCAAAGACTTTGAAACAGTTGTCTTAAAGATGCTCAAGAAAATGATGGGTGAACAAAATAGAAAATATCAATAAAGAGATACAAAAACTAAGAAGAAACCAAAAAGAAATTCTGAAAAGTACAGTAACTGAAGTGAAAAGTTTACCAGTGATTCAAAGGCAAATTTGATCAGGAAAAATCTGAAGAAAAGTGAACAGAACCTAAAGAACCTGTGGGACATCATCAAATGGACCAACATATGCATTGTGGGAGTCCCAGAAGAAGAGAGAAAGGGGCAGAGAGAATATTTGAAGAAATAATGGCTGAAAACGGCCCTAATAGGATGAAGGACATGAATATAAACATCCAAGAAGCTCAGTGAACTCCAATTAAGATGAACTCAAAGAGACCACACCAAGACACATTATAATCAAACTTTTGAGAGTCAAAACAAAAGAAAGAATCTTGAAAGCTGCAAGAGAAAAACAACTTGTCACATCAGTAAGATGATCAGATTTCTTATCTGGAACTTTGGAGGCTGGAAGGCAGTAGGCTGATATATTCAAAATGCTAAAAGAAAAATAACCTGTAAACCAAGAATCTTAGGAGCCTAATACACTTAAAAGAATTATTAGTCTGTGTTCTTGGGCACAGTGTATAAAGTTGTGGTTTTGTGACATCAACAACTGAAAGGGGTGGGGACAGAGCCGCAAAGGAGAAGGAACAGAGGTTTTATATATTATTGAAGTTAAACTAGAATAAATTCAAATTAGTGTGTTATAACTATAGGATGCTAAATGTAATCCCTGTGGTAACCACAAAGAAAATAGCTCTAGAATATACACAAAAGGAAATTTTAAACATTTCACTATTAAAAAAATCAACTAAACACAAAAGAAGACAGTAATGCAGGAATTGAGGGACCAAAAGCTATATGGCATATAGAAAACAAATAGCAAAATGACAGAAGTAAGTCCCTCTTATCAGTAATTAGGTTAAATGTAAATGGATTGAACTCTGCAATCAAAAGACAGAGATTGGCAGAATGGATTGGAAAAAAAAACCCGAGAACTCCAACTATATGCCAACTACAAGAAACTCACTTTAGATCCAAAAGCACAGATAGGTTGAAAGTGAAAGGACAGAAAAATATATCCCATGCAAATAGTAACCAAAAGAGAACAGGGGCAGTTATACTAATATCAGACAAAATAAACTTTAAATCAAAAATGTTGCAAGAGGGCTTCCTTGGTGGCGCAGTGGTTAAGAATCCGCCTGCCAATACAGGGGACACGGGTTCGATCCCTGGTCCAGGAAGATCCCACATGCTGCGGAGCAACTAAGCCCATGCGCCACAACTACTGAGCCTGCACTCTAGAGCCCACAAGCCACGACTACTGAGCCTGCCAGCCACAACTACTGAGCCTGCAAGCCACAACTACTGAGCCCACATGCCACAACTACTGAAGCCCACGCGGCTAGAGCCCATGCTCCACAACAAGAGAAGCCACGACAATGAGAAGCTTGCACACCCCAACGAAGAGTAGCCCCCGCTCACCGCAACTAGAGAAAGCCTGCGCACAGCAACGAAGACCTAACACAGCCAATAAATAAATAACTAAATTTAAAAAAAAAGTTGCAGGAGACAAAGAAGGACATTATATATTAATAAAAGGTTCAATACAGCCAGAAGACATAGTAATTTTAAACATTTTGTACCTAATAACAGACCGTCAAAATATATGAAGCAAAAACTGACGGAATTGAAAGAAGTAAATGGTTCTATGATAATAGTTGGAGATTTCAGTATCCCGCTGTCAATAACAGATAGAACAACTAGACAGAAGATAAGGAAATGGAGGACTTAAATAACACAATAAATCAGCTAGATTTAACAGACGCACACAAAAGCCTACCTGACAACAGCATACAACATGTACGTGGGACCTTTTCCAGGAGAGACCACTAATTAAGTCTCAACAGATTTTAATAGGTAGATATCATACAAAGTATCTTCTCTGACCAGCATCTTCTGAAGTTAAAAGCCAATAACAGAAGTAAAACTGAAAAATTAACAAATTTGTGGGAATTAAACAACACACTCTTCACCAGTAGACTAAAGAAGAAATCATATGGGAAATTAGAAAATACTTAGAGATGAATGAAAACAAAACCCCAAAGTACCAAAACTTCTAGGACACAGAAGAGCTTTGTATGAGGGGAACTGTATAGCTAAGAGCACTTACATAACTTTACAATTTAAGGATCTAGAAAAAGAAGAAGAAAGTAACTCAAAGCTAGCAGAAGGAAGGAAATAATAAAGATTAGAGCACAAATAAATGAAATAGAGAATAGAAAAACAGTAGAGAAAATCAGTGAACCCAAAAGTTGGTTCTTTGAAAAGATCCCTAAAATTGCCAAACATTTAGCTAGGTAGACTAAGAGAAAAGAGAAAAAACTCCGGTTACTAAAATCAGAAATGAAAATGAGGACATTAGACTCTACAGAAATAAAAAGGATTATAACAAAGTACTGTCAACAATTGTACGCCAACAAATTGGATAACCAGGTGAAATGGAAATTCCTAGAAACATGAAACCTACCAAGACTAAATCCTGAAGAAATAGAAAGTCTGAACAGATACATAGTAAGGAGGTTGAATCAATAATCAAAAATCTCCCAACAAAGAAAAGCCTTGGGCCTGATGGCTTCACTGGTGAATTCCAAACATTTAAAGAACACCAACCCTTCTCCCTGTGTGAATGGAAGGTCACTTTGTGAACAGCCTTACCAGACAAGCCTCGATGGCAGAATGGCCTTTGTGAAGGATTAGCTTAAGGCCTTTGGGGCATTCAGCATTGCTGACCACATATGCCTGTAAGTCACCTTGAGCCCTGAGCCTGAGCACCCAGGTCTTAAAAGGACTAAGATCACAAGCCGAGCAGTGCTGAAATTCCCAGGGCTTCCTCTCTGCTGTGTGCAAGCCCAGTCTGCTTGGAGTCCTTCACCCTCCGTCACCAACCCTTCCTCTTGGGAAGAGTCAGAGCTTCTTTAGAGCAGGGACAAGGTTATGTGCATCTTCTTAGGTTATGGATATGACGATAGAATCATAGTAATTCTCCATGGAAGAAGGCCCCACCATGGGTCTCTTTGCACCCACACAACCACGAGTGAAGTGGGTGCTTTTCTTCCCATTTAACAGATGAGGATGCGGACTGAGAGACCTGGACCGCTTTGCCCCAGTCATACATAGAGCCAGCATTTTTATTCGGGCCCTTTGGACTCCAGAGTCAGCTCTCTGTCTGCACTCTGTACTTGCTCCTCGTTGCTCAGCGCTGCACATGTAGTAGGTGTTCAGGAAATCTTGATCGAATGAATGTTGAAGAAATAGCCTGGAAATGTGGAGACCAGGGAAGGTGGTGAGTTTCCCAACAGTAACCCAGTCGGGAGGAATAATGAGTTGACTAGCCACTAGAGGTCAGAATTTGCAGGTCTTTGTTAGCCCAGGACCGCTGCCTGTGAGCATCCCTGACCCTTAGCTCTGGGAAGGACCTCAGAGGTGCCCCCCAGCCCCACTCCCCATGGGTCAGAAAACTGAGGCTTAAAGATGCAGTGACTTGCCCAAAGCCACAAAGGTGCACAGAATCCCAACCATGCTTTGCCCATCACCACAACCCCTCTTTGAGGACTTTCCTGGAGCCTAAAGCATTTTATCACCTGAAAACAACATTCAATGACTGTGCAGAGCACTAGTGGGCCAGATGTTGGGGATGCGGCGGTGAGAGGCCTGGCCCTGTGAATGGTGGAACTGGGGAGGGTTTGTTTCCAGGAATGAGGTTTGCCTTTGACTCGATGTTACAAATAAATTTTACATCATCACCTAGTAAATTATATAATTTTATTATAAATTTTATTTCAACTATACATATACATGTATAGTTGAATATAAAGTTTCTCAATATTTATCGTACCTAAAATGCAATACATTCTGTAATCTCATACTCTAGTCTGTTTGGTAAGAAAAGAATGCTAACCACAACCCACTAAATTGATTTCATGATCCTCTAATGGTCATAACTTCAGTGTGAATACCACTACTCCAAATCATTGATTTCAACTAGGAAAGCGGTCACTCATCCTGAACTGCTACGAATGGTCTCATTTGTTTTGGGTAGAGGGTGAGAGGTTCCTAGAATACAGCCGTCACAGGCAGACTTTTTGGAAGCCTAGGCAGAGAAGAGTGAGAACAGGCCAAAGGTCACCACCGCAGTCCCACCGTCCAGGATGTACAGAAGGAATATGGAGGCTGCTGCAAGCCGGCTCTGCTGTCAGCCACAAGAGGGCTCCCGCCTGGGAAGCTAGGGAGTTAGAACTGAATGCATGTGCTCGTACATGTAACTTCATTAGAGAAAAAAGCCTGTCAAGCACTAAATCCCCACTGGGTTATGAGTGTAAAATGATTGATTGGGAATCCTGGAAGGTTGAAGGCCTGCATCCCCGAGCAGTGGTCCATGGCACAGACCTGAGAACAGGTGTTTTGGTTCGTTCTCACTGATAAGCTAGGCCAGTGCATCTCCTACTTTAATGTGCATAAGAATCATCTGGGGATCTTATTAAGCTGCAGGTTCTGATCCAGGAACTATGAAGAAGGACTTCCATTTAGAGGAGAGGACAGGAGAGAGAGAGGAGGGTCTGACAGGTGTGTCCAAGCTTAGCCAACTCCCTTTTTCCTGCAGACGTGGAGAAGGGCTGCCACTTCCTGCACATCCTGGCCTGTGCTCGCCTGAGCCTCAGCCCAGTCCTGAGTGAAACTGTGCTGCGGCAAGTGCTGGAGCTCTTGGAGGACCAGAGTGACATCGTCAGCACCACAGAGAACTACTACACTGCGTTCTGAGGAGGGGCCGGCAGGCAGCACGAGTGGAGCAGGGGAGGAGGAGAAAACAGGTGGCGTTCACTCCCGGGCTCTGACTTTAACATGGGGCTGAGGCTTATAGGCCTGGTGGCAATTATGTCATAACAAACTATGAAATATGGTAATTTGAAGAATGGAACTTGGCATGAATTCTGGAGGCTGCCTTCTGCCTGCTGTATCCTGGGATAAAAGACTTATCTCAGCCACGACGTACAAGAAAACCCTCGTCATTGGCCTCCTGGCTGGACCAAGCATCACTCACAGAGCAGAAGAGGAAGAAACAGTGTTGATAGCTGAACTGGCTGGAGGCTCTGTTGTGGTAAAGGGGCATCCCGTGGAAAAGGCGCTTGTACTGCGGGAGCTGAAGAGCGTACAGATCACCAGTTCAGACACTTTTTAAAACTTCAGACTATCAGGTACTTTCTTGGTGTATCTTGATGGTTAAGAACCTGGTATAGGGGACTAGTTCTCCCTGGATGAGTGTCGCTGACCTACAATTTCTGTGGGTCAAACACCAGTGATGGGTCCAGAGTCTTGGGTTGAATTCTGTCTACAGACCAACGCATCAATGGGAATAAACAGGATCCAAGGCATGGCTCTGTATTTGTCGTTTTCCTTATTTTCCTTCTGAATCAAAAGGTGTTTCAGTACATTTCCCTGTGCTTGAGGACACTGTGACTAAATACATTATCCCTTAATACCCTGAAGTTCTTGGCAGAGGCTGCTGACCAATTACTTGGCAGTGGTAGATGTTATTTTCAAGGTTACCATTGAACGTGCAGGACGTCCTGACACCATCCAAACACTCAGTATTTGCCCAGACAGGTGATGGGTCATGCTTTTGCTCGGAACGACAAGGTAAAGGGAAAAAATCCGAGGTATGTAATAGGCTTGTTCTTACAGGACGATGACAAATCCAGCCAGCGAAAACAAAGTTCGGAGAAAGATATGGCGTTAATTACAGTCATTTCACAAAAGGCACATCTGCCTTTGGCTGCTGCATTTGCACTTGATGAAATAAGCTTTTAATGGCTCTGCTGGAGAGCCTGCAGGCCTGGCGCGTTGTGCTGCTCTGTGTGGAAATGGAGTGGCTTTACACTTAGAAATTGGCTGTAGCTCCATATGTCAGACCAAAAGCTAGTACCGACAGATTGCTTCCTGTCTTGGACCTTTCTGACTTGACCTAAACCTCTGTGCCTGGTTGCTAACAGCGATTACCCAGAAAGCTGCCCCGTGTTGAGAAGGGTCCCTGTAGAACAGAATTTACCTGGAATGACATCCCAGTAGTTCTTCCGTAAGGTCGGCAGCTGATCCATATTGAATACATCTCAGATGACTGGAGCTGCCGGGAAGGAGTCTTGCATCAGAACATAAAAAGGGCACATCCTTGGGCTTCCCTGGTGGCGCAGTGGTTAAGAGTCCGCCTG